AAGACAGATCAAGAAATGAGGAAAGCAGGGGGAACAACTTAGGCACTGGTATGGAGCAGAGATGGTGGGTCTATGGAAATGATGGCGTTTACCCCAGAGAAGTGGTAGAGGCAGTCTGAGCAGGCACACAGCACTAGAAAGCCCTGGAGAATAAAGTAATAGATTGGTGTGTTTAGAGGTCTGCAGGTGATTTGGTAACATTATAAAATATATCAAAATAATGGTATATATCTTAATAGTTCTATGAAGTCATTCATTTATAGACAAAGTAATCAGACATTTATTTTTATTTTTTTCAGAAATTTATTTTAAATAAAGAGATTTATTTGGTTGAAACTACACATTTCTTATTCTGAAATTCATGTGTCAGGAGAATGGGGCCAAAACACAATAAATCAGGACACACTCATGGTTGTAGGAATTCTATGTGCTAAGAGATTCCTTAAAATTGACATTGTGTGGAACACACACAGAGAATTGGTCTTTGATGATTACTTTGTGCAGATTCTTCATTTATCAAATTCTCTTTTTGAAGAAGAACGTTTTCTACTTTTTTATCTTTTCTTTGCTTGGATGAGATCAATGGCATGGTAATTAGAAATAAATAATACAAAACCTTCAATTTCAAACTTCAAGTGCTTCTCAAAGTTTGGTTGAAACAGTGCTTAAGTGAAATCAGATGACTTATTCTAATCCATGGATTCATTGATTTGTGAGAATCTATTATTCTTTTATTTTTTTAATAGAGGATACCATCAAAATAAAAATGTCATGGCTGGACTGAAGCAGAAAGAGAAATTTTAAGTTTTGAGGAGTGGTTTTAGCCCCAGTGATGCTTTTTATTTTTATATTTTGGAGCCATTAACTAATTTCATCTAAGTTTAGTCAGATTTGGAAGGATCTAAAGATACAATGTTTTGTTGTTGATTTATGAATTATTAGACTAATGCGATAAGCAGAAGTAGTATTGGGTATGAAACATTGATTTGAGGTATCTTTAGTTTGCAAACATTGATAAGGGACACAAAACATGAATGAGTAGCCAATGACTTGAAAGGTAAAAATATAGTGCTGCAAGTATTTAGAGGAAAGAAACATTGACATTTTTTCTCAGCATAGAATTTCCTTTCATTCTTCTGATCAAGTCACATAATCATATATTTAATAAATTATTACGAATGTGTACTAAATGCAAAATTCAGTGGTAGATGTTGAAGATACAGAAATGATTTGAAACTGAAAGGGACATTAAAGTAATGATTCTAAAATATTGGGTAATCCATTGGCTCATTTGCAAAGCAGATAAACACTGTGGATACAACATACACACAACAAGTTCAGGTGATCCGTGAATGCTTTGAGGTCTACCATTAGTAAATCATGTTTAATGATTTCTTAATATCCAGTTTTATTTATTTTTTAAAATTTGCCACCAAACTCAAGGTTTATTTAAGCCTTATTATGAGGGTTAATTTTGTTTACACAATTTACCCTCTCCCAAATTAATATTGGGACAGATCTTCCATACACATATTGAACTGAGAATTGCTGATATTGGGGAGCCAACCTACTCAGTAAAATGAGCATGAGCGCCACCTAATGTCCAAATGGAACAAATGTTGGTAACAACAGTAATATACAACAGGATTTAGGGTATGTACCAAAGGATTTAGGATTATTGCTCTTTGGTTGGTTGGTTCATTTTTTTCAATATTCGTGAATTATTAACTTTTTATTATCACTTTCAGTTCTTTTATTTCATATAACAACCCTTTGAGTTAGTTTTTACTGTTGAAATTAAAACTAAGAAACATTTTGAGATAAGAAACATGTGTAAATTTGTCTTTTTGTTGATGGAGGAGCATATGATTTACATTTTAAAATAATTTTTATATTTTATAACAGTTTTGTATTTTCAGAATAATTGTGAAAATAGTACAGTGTCCCCAAATACTCCATATCCAGTTTTTCCTAAAAAGTGGTACTATTTTTATAATTAATGAACCATTATGGTTATATTATTATGAATTAAAGTTTATATTTTCTTCAGGTGTTCTCAAATTTTTTCCTACTGTTCCTTTTTTAGGTTCTAAGATTCCATCCAGGAATCTACATTACCTTTAGTAATTGTCTCCTTATGCTTGCTTATGACGTTTGATATACAATTTATTTGGTGTATATTTGAAGTTTCTTTTAGTCTTGTAACTTTTCAAAATAATTTAAATTTTTTTTTCTCAGAAAACACTTTTAAGTGGATTTTTATAAACAAACTAGAGGTCCAGTGCATGGATTTGTGCACTGGTGGGATCCCTCAGCCTGGTCTGTGCCCTCTCACAGGCCTGCAGGGATTGAGCAAAACCAATTGGGCAAAACCAGCAGTCCGACATACCTCGAGGGATGGAGTAGTGTGCTAAGCAGTAGGCAGCTGGGGAGAAGCCCAAGCCTGGGCCAAGCAAGCAAAATACATTTTTTTTTCAAACATATAAAAACTGAAAGAATTCATTAAAGTAGACTTGTAAAAAAAAAAAAGTTTGAGGAAGTCTTTTACGCAGAAGGAAAATTGTATTAGATAGAAATATGGATCTAAACAAAAGAATGAAGAGTACCTTAAAAGCTAACTTCAATACCCACACCCTGGACTTCCGTTGTCTATCTTACCACATCATGAGTTGGAGCATGAGGATTCTCCTGACCCAGTTTTAAGTTTTCTAAAAAACAAACTGGAGAGTCCCCCCAAAATGTATACACATGGATGATTAACATGGCTCATTTTCATAATTTGAAAGACTCTACAAAAATGAATAATTTATATTTTTTTTTATCAAGGCCTGTTTTAAACTGATGACCATTCTGGTCCAGGCACCTCTGATAATTCAAAGCTATAGAATCACAAACATCAAGAATCATTTCCTTTGATATTATTGTGACCCTAATTCGTCATTTATTGACAGTTTTGTACCATAAGCTTTATCTTTTATGTGTCCCCATATAAACAAAATCTAGTGGTACTTTAGGATAAATTCTAGTCTGGCTTCACCCATTATTTCAAGTCACTTAAACCTGAAAAGGAGTGAAAATTGAGTTATCCGATTAAAATTGTGTATACATTTTGAGGGGACACCCTATATATGATAAGATATGAAGAGGAGCACAGTGATAAGAACTTGCTGCCTGACTGACCAAGGGGAACAGAGCTAGCTGCCTGGCAATCTGGACCTTTCACCTTAAATAAGTTTTCAATAATGAAGTTACTAAGTGACTAAGAAAAGCCTATAGTTTTAGGTGTCTATATTTTAGGTTTTAACTGATACTGCAGTTTTGGTTATTTTGGTGTAGATCAACTTGAAAAACCCTCAAATTAAGTGTTTATTAACTGCACTGTGCGGGCTCCTTCAAGGTATGGGCCAGACTAATATTTCTTGGATTCTCAGAGAATGAAATATACAGCACTTATTTTATACAGTAATTGAATAGTTGTTTTTAAAGCTGTTGTATTGTACCTTTTACATTAAGACCTTTATTGTATTCAGGTAATTTTTCCGCATGAAGACACAGTTGATACAGAATATCCTAATATACTACCCTTTACCTCTTTGCACACAATATGCCACAATTGCCTAATCCTCAAACTTTCCAACTAACATTTAGTCTAGTCCAGTGGTTGGTAAACTCATTAGTTAACAGAGCAGCAAACAGCGGCCTGTGAGCTGCAGTTTGCCGAGCACTGTCCAAATGGAAATGCCATGTTTTTCTCACTAATTTGAAATGCCAACTGTGCCATGTATCAATCACATATATATGCATTGGAGTTTTTGGGGGGGCTATTTATTTACTAGTCTATGTCTCTATGTATCAATATTATAAATATCTGTGTACTAATTAGATGTTTATACAAATACTTGGTATCTCATAGGGCAAATATTTCAACTTGTTCTTCTTAAATATATCTTGGTTCCTCCTAATATATTGAATTTCTAAATACATTTTAAAATCATTTTTTAAAGAGTAGATGATGTGGTTGTTAGGACCTCAGTTAGGACCTCAACATTGGTTATAACCTGTCTTATTATGAATTCATACATGCAGAAGTCTCCCGTCTGATGAGCAGGGTGAGTCTGAGAGTAGCATTTTATCCTCACAGCTATAGGAGCAATCGCACACATGGTATGGAAATGCTGACACTGCCTACCTAATGGACATCTAGGGATCAGATCTCCTCATTTCCCAGTTACTCACACTCCCCTATTTGGTCGCCATTAGCTTTGGCTATTTGGGGTAGATCATGAGAATACAACTTCATTACTGAAACTTTAAGTGTATATTAAGTGTATATTGAGGGTTCCTTCAAGGTGTGGACCAGACTAATATATTCTCAGAGAATAAAATATATAACACTTATTTTACTCTTTAGGGTTTCAGTCAACTCTTATTGACAGACACCAGAGTTGAATGCTCTATAACCCCATTTTAATACAATGTTGGGGAACTTAGGCAATTTATTCAACTTTCACCACTTACTATTAAGTGTCTACTTTGCTCTTGGTACAGAACTAAGTGTTGAATATTCAGCAATAAGGCAATACATATGGATTCTTCTCTCATGGGAAAAATCCAACATTGAAATAGAATAAACAGAAATATAAATATTTAATTTATAATCATGTTTAGGGCTATGAAGGGGAAATAGGGTTTTATGTGAGAATAAATAACTGGAAGGAGAATAATACATTTTTCATGTAAAGAGCATTTAATGTACCAATGAAACCTGATTTAACGTGTAACATAACTGGATTTATGTAGCAAATTAAATAGGTTTATTAAGTCCACTTATTCATTTATTTCACAGCATCCATGTTTATCCAGATATTGGGCTCATAATAACAACCGAGGCCTTTGAGGAGTTCATTGTTTAACTGAGTGCACAATTAGCAGTACTTCTCATTAAAATAATTCCATACCAAATGAAAACATAATATGTCCTTTTTCTTTTTCTTTTTTAGATGAGGATAGGCATTCATTCAGGCTCTGTGCTGGCTGGAGTTGTTGGGGTGAGAATGCCACGATATTGCCTGTTTGGAAATAACGTCACTCTGGCAAGCAAATTCGAATCGGGAAGTCACCCTCGGCGCATCAATGTCAGCCCCACCACTTACCAGTAAGTGTTCTGGTTTCCTCCCCTAGTCTTTGACGCTGCCTTGGGCTCACATCCTGTCATTTGTAAGACCATTGGTTCTGTCATTATCCAAGATAATATCAGTATATCTGCCCAGTGACACCAACTTTTCTTTGCATCCTGAGAGAGTTCACGGGAAACTTCACCTGAGTGAGAGGTAAATATAATACATTTGTCATTTCCCACCGTCTCTGTTCTTCTGAGGTACACCTGCTTAAAAGACATGAGAGCAAAGGTTAAGGGTTAAGGTTAAAGGGGGAGGTTACACTAGAAATTCTAATCTTTTCAAAATGCTCCTCAATGTTTATGAAAATTAAAGGAGTATGATAAAGAAGGTGGCTTGTCTGTTTTTCTTTTAAATATGAATAGAAACAAGGATTCTCTCCAGTGCACTATATACTGGGTAAAGAGCAAAACTTCAGACTCTATTTCTCATAAAGGTCCTATTTCACAATTCTACACTTTTGACAGCTGCATTCATCCTCATTTTGTGCCTGGTAGATGTCATCTTAGCCACTACGTAGTAAGTTCCATATGGGCAGTGGCCACGTCTGTTTGACTCATCATTATACACCGGAATTTAACAACGTTTAGCACATCGAAGCACTCTATAAACATTTATTGAACTAATGAGTGAATGCATTAATAAGATGGACTTCTCTAGAATAACAAAGGAGTATGACTACTCATCCCTGTTAGACTTTCATTTCCTGCTAGGCTTTGTGTGCAAGCTGTTTAAATAGTGCCATGATTTGGGTAACTTAGAAATTATTGTAAAACTGTAAAGCAGATATAGTGATCATTGCCTTTTAAAAAAATATATTTGTATTGATTTTTTTTTAAAGAGAGGAAGGGCGAGGGAGAGAGAGAAACTCGGATTAGTTGTCTCCTGCACCTCCATTCCCCACCCCACCTACTGGGATCAAGCCCACAACCTGGGCATGTGCCCTGATCAAACCTGCAACTTTGGGACGAAGCCCAACCAACTGAACCACACGGCCAAGGTGATCATTGATACTTGATATTAACATGGCTATAGAAAAACAAAATGAAACAAAACAAAACAAAACAAAAAAAACCTCAAGCAGAAAATCTGAATATATAGGTAACAAAATTTGATTATAACTTAAAAACAACAACAATGGAAACAAAGATAGACACATTGAGATCCATGTAGGGATAGTTGATCTGACTGGTACCAAATCATGTAATTCTTCCTAATGATTTATGAACCAATTTTTACATGTAGTCTATCCTCAGCCCTTTTCCTTGCTCTTCCCTATGTTCCTTCCTCCTTTTCTTATTTTAACAAATATTATATTCCAAGCACTACGGTAGGCACTAATGTTATAATAATGAACCTCATAAGTTTGATCTCTGCCCTTGAGAAGGAGACCATGGACTAATGTTGGAGTGCCCAAGTAAACAATTAGTTAAATAATTCTATTGGAGGTCAAGAAGCCCTGATTAGAATATTAAAGTACGAGAAGGAGTGGACTAAAATGAGGAGAAAGAGAGAAAGCTGGTAAGTCAACTTAAAGGGTTTCAACCTAACCCTTAGAGCAGCAGCAGACATTGGAGAGTTTTTGTAGGTTTTTATTGTTGTTGTTTTAGGTTTTTTTGTCTTGTTTTGTTTTGTTTTGTTTTGTTCCAAAGTGACTTTTTTTTTTACTTATTTATTTCTTTTGTTTTTTTTCATCACTATTTATCCGCACTATTCCCTCCTTCACTTCCACCTTGCATTCACCATACTGTCGACCAGGTCCATGACTTCTCTTTTTTTCTTATTTGCTCAATCCCTCCACACCCTCCCAATACCCTCCCCTCCCTTCTACCCGTCTTCCTCCACAGACACACCAGAGCTAATCTGCCTGCTCTCTATCTATGAGTCTGTCTCTATTTTGCTTGGTAGTTAGTTTGTTCATTAGATTCCACATATAAGTGAAATCATATGGTACTTGTCTTTCTCTGGCTGGCTTATTTCACTTAGCATAATGAAGAGTTTTAAGCAAAAGAGTGGCTTGACCAGATTTGTACTTTAAAAAGATCAATAATGTTACAGAAAGAAGAACAGATTAGGAGGTGGGGAGGAGTAGTAATCTAGCGATTGAGAGGAATAACCATTTCCCCATTTCCTTGATTACTGAGATCTTCAAGACCCAACACTTGCTTTCAATTTGTCTTGCTGTGTTTCAGAGGAGTGGTTGGATTCAAAGGCTTTGAACATCCACTTTTATCTGGATGCCATTAAAAACATGCTGGCTCCTGATTAAGTTTCTAGCAAATTAAATATGGCTACCAGTATGTGATTTTAGTAATTGGGTTTTCATATTCTGGATCTTTCTGTGCTTAAGTATTTTTTTGTTTCTTCCATCTACCCAAGTCTATATAGTTCAGTGTAAAATTGATAGGTTCCACATGGCACAGGTGATTTATGAACCTACACCGGGAAGCTCACAGTGAAGTGCCACGATTGACTCCTGAGGGAGAGTCTCTATCAGGAGACAGAATTGCACTTTCTTAAGTGCAGATAAGAATTTGTGAAATAAAACTGGAAATTTCAAGCTCTCGTGAGCTTAAAACTTATTTTAAAACTTAAAACTTAAAACTTATTTATTTCCTGAATTAAATTTGTAGAACATCCAATATAGTCTTGTCATCTTGAAATCTTCAGAGAGGTTTATACTGAATTCCTTCTTAGTAAGACTATCTGATTATCTTAAATTTTGAGAGAGTGAATTATTTGGTTATTATGATAAACTGAAATAATTTTCTGAATAATTTATTTCAAATACATTTTGCCCAAAATATTTAAGTAGTTGATTTAATATTTTATTATATTTGCTCTAGTTATTATTTAATAAAAATAAATAAAACATTTCCTTTGGATTTTCCTCCATTTCATTGTGACAAATACCCTAGTAAATTTGGTGTGTTTCAAAGACCTTTTTCATATATATATATAGAGAGAGACAATAAAATTTTATTTTTCCTGTTTTAATTTGTGTAAGTTATATGTCACTGTATGAACCTTTCTCTAACTTTTTTACATTTCATATTTTTCAATTTATCCATATGGAGACATGTTCCTGTAGCTCAACATTTTAATTACTATACTATTTCAGAGTAAGACTACACCATATTTTAATTTTACTCATCTATTCCTCTATTAATGAGGACAAGGTTTTTAAATTTTTTTTTAATTATTAAAAAGTGTGTTCCCATGAACATTACTTACCTGTTATTATATAAGTTTGCCACTTTACTTTCAGATCATATAAATAATTGAATTTCCTATAGCTCATTAGAATTGAAATAATGAGCTGTTGTTTATTTCAAAATTAATTTGGATATAAGAAATGAAGATTTTAAAATCAGAGCCATAACTTTTATATGAATGGCCTTCATTTTTCCAGTAATGAACAAGGACCAGTTCCTCTTCACCTAGAGCACTTTATTGCTGGACAAAAAGAAATATTTAATGACTTTTGAATTTTTTATGTTTGATGTTTTCATTTCTGTTCAATAATGTGATGTTTCCACTCATCCAAACTTAAAAAAATGATGCACACTTTACGAACAATTGTCTTTTAGCATCAAGCTACTGATCTGTGAAATGAAATAATTACTTATCTTAAGGAGAGTTTCAGAAATTTGGAAATGGTATGAATAATCAAATGATTTGCCTGAGCAAATCATTACTTGCATTTCCTTGTTATCACAAACTAAAAAAAATGTAGAAAGAATCTTTAATTACTATGATATGAAAGTTTCCTTACACTTAAAAGATTTTTGCTTCTCTCGTTTTATAGTTGATCTATTTCTGGACTCTTCAGAATGCCTATTTTTCATTCACTGTGGAAGGCCCCTTCTGTTAAAACCAAGTTGCCTTCTGATCACTGCATTGTAAACAGCTCACCACATCAGAGGATGTGCAATGGAGAAGGATGAGGTATTGGATAAGTACACAAGCTCCAGAAGCAGAGTGCCTCGGTTGGAATCCAGGCTTTAAAACTTAGTGCTTGTGAAATTTAACAACTTAATTTAGTAGTAAACATGATGTTTATAAATCTCCTAGTACTTGGAACACAGTGGACATCCATTTATTGCATCAGCCTGTTCTTTTCTATGAAAGAATAGACTATCTTATTCCTGCACTTGAGTCTCATATTTAATGAGCTCAGCCATGTTGAATTATGTGTAACAATGCATTCCAGACCTCATCTGGCAATCCCAAAGGTGGGGGTTTGGTAATTTGGGCAAAGACATTTTGAGCTATGACTCAGTACCCAGCTAGTAATCGCCTTATTGCTACAAGTTTTTATTAGCTGAGGCATCTTACTGATGACTAAGTCATAATTCTGTGATATAAACTGTTTTCTTGGCAAATACTCAAATTTAAGTAGCAGTACATGATTGCATATATGTTAATTAGGTTAACATAAACATTGTGACCTAAATGACACAAATTTATTATCTTGCTGTTTTTTTGGGTGGCAGTCTGATACAGGTGCCCCTGTGCCCAGCAGGGCTGCATTCTTTTTTTGTTTTTGTTTTTTTGTTTGTTTTTTGCTTTGTTTTGTTTTGTTTTTAATATATTTTATTGATTTTTTTATAGAGAGGAAGAGAGAGGGATAATTAGAAACATCGATGAGAGAGAATCATCAATCAGCTGCCTCTTGCACACCCCTTACTGGGGATATGCCCACAACCAAGGTACATGTCCTTAACTGGAATCAAACCCAGGGCCCTTGAGTCCGCAGGCTGATGCTCTATCCACTGAGCCAAACCGGTTACAGCAGGGCTGTATTCTTTAACCTGTTTCCTTGCCTCTTCCAGATTTTAGAGGCCACAAGCATCCCTCTTTCACAGTTTCCTTTCTGTGCACCTGAAACCTACATAATTTTACTAATCAATGTCACCCCAACAAATTAAATTTAAAAAGAAAGAAAAATAATAAAGCCAATTGTAAAGCATTTCTC